TCAGATTGGCCAGTGGTAGGGCAAGAAAGTTAGTCAATTTGCAAGACTATGTGGTGAAAATAGGGTACAAAATAAGGAACACGACAGCAGATCCCCAGCCGGTTATATCAGAAAGACGGATCAAACACCTAGGGGAGGCATATGGTTGGCCCTCTAGGATCCCATGGGAATACTACAGCAGCATAAAGCCCACTAGATTTAGAAGCCTACAATCGCTGATAATATACTGGGTGGTCCAAGTCAATGAGTGGCTCGATAGACGAAGGAAAGCTGACCAACGAATAGAACAGTCCGCCCTCTGCAAAATGTGCGAGGATTACAAGGTGGAATCACTCGTCCATTGCCTGATAGAATGCCCCCATGCTGACAAAATATGGGAAGCAGTCAAATCAGCTTGGTCCAAGATTTTCCCAAATCTATTCCCAATGCAAGCGGATTACCTACTCTCAGCAAGAGACAGAGAAGGAAAGGTGGAAGAGGAAGAAATTTGCTGCGAAGAGCGGCACTATGGGTGACATGGGAATCTAGATGCAAAGGAACAGTCAGCAACCAGATAACAACAAACGAAGAGGCATGGAAGGAGACGAAGAATATTGTAGAAAAAGAGATCTGGGCACAATGGAAAAAGGAACTAAGGAAACAAGAAAAATTAACAGACCCCCCCAAAAGAGAGACTAGTCAAGTTCCTTCGACGGAAAACGGTTGTTAGGCAAAAAGATAGCAAAAACAAAAAAACAAAATTCCTAAAGTTCCAAGAATGGGATAGGGGCACCCTCGGAAGAGGAACAATAGCAACGTAGTAAGGAAGCGAATAGCATACCAAAGAAGAACCAGGAGTAAAGGGCACATATAGACAGACATTTTGAAGCAGATCGCCAGCCATGGGAACACAGTAAATACGTCGACGAAAAAAGGAAGAGTTACACAGAGAACAAACCCTCATCAAGAGCACAGGATCCAGACGGCCTCAGAGATAGTGACGATAGGTTACAGAATTTCAGTGCTAGCTCTAGAAGAGAACCGATAGCAGCACAACCCGTGAAATCACTCACTAGGGTTTAGGGTTTTAGCCAGACCTACAACACACAGCCAGGTTAACTGCTCCAGCACTTACGGAAAATCAAACAGCCACATAATTGACACGAATAGATTAGACCACACCTTCTTAAGTTAGTTGCAAAGATTAGGAGGGGAGGGGGAAGGAAAACAGGGCTAGGGTTTAGTTTCAGCCATGGGCAGCAGCAACTTAACCTGAGAGAGTTTAGGGTTTATACAAGAGCTACTTCAGAAGGCCAAGTCAGCAGTTCTGGCACTTAAGGAGAATCAGGCAGTCAGAGAACTGAGAGGAACAGGCTAGATGAGGCTCTACTAAGTATGTATACAGAGTCCACAATACCGGGATTTTGTTCAGCACATGGAAACAGAAGTAAAGTAGATCAGGCTAACTTAGGCAGGGGTGAGGGGTGGGACATCCTTCCGGCCGGAAGTAATCAATGCCATTCCCCAGGCTTTGCTACCATAGAGGGGAAGAGCATGCGTGAGTCCTAAATCTAAGTCCTTTGACTTGCTGGTGGAACAGGAACCGGACTGATGCTCCACAGAATGGAAAAGGAGCCAGAGCCATAGGGTTCTGTTTTTCTTTTTTTTTTTCTTTTTTTTTTTCTTTTTTCTTTTTTTTTTTTTTCTTTTTTTTTTTTTTTTTTTTTTAAACAAAAAACTTTTGCTCCGTTTTTTCCTTAAGAGGGGCGGCGGCTTTGGGGTATCATCATTGAACCAGCAAGCGGCCTAGCTCAGCTGGCTAGGCACGCAAGTGCCATTCTTGCATCGAGCCACACTGCTCGTCACCTTGAGCACACACACACATTGAGAGATCACACGAAATCCACACTGGAGACCAGAGATGCAAAGTCCAGATTAGCGCAGCTTAGAAATTCCAAACGAATTATCATATTAAACAGTTTCTGAGTTCCAGTCACCAAGCGCCCAACAGCGCAGAGTTCAGCAACCCAAATCTAGAATCCTCAACTAGGTAGGTGACCTCCTCTCTCCCTGTCTCAGTCTTGCTCTCTCTCTCTCTCTCCCTTAATGCATGTGTTAACTCCCTCTCTCTCTCTCTGCATGAAGATCTTGACTCTGGATATATCCGCCACTACTCAGCTCTACCTCCTACTACTAGCTTTGCGGCTATGGCCGCCTCCCTTCCTCAGCACAGTGCTGCCCAGCCAGGGCTCTAGCGCATGTTACTCGCAGATAGCGCACACGCGCCCAGCAGCACTTCCACACTTCTTGCGAATGAGCAATCTGTCCAAAATGAGGCTGGCCAGTCCCTATATTGACTTGGACTGAGCCTTGACTCGTCCCAGCACCGGCTGCCCGCAGCCTGGTTGCTTCCGGAATGTAGAGGCCTGGTACCTTCCTGAGTTTTCCTTGGTGTGCTGCTGCTTTTGGGTCTGTGGGACGTGACCTTCGACTGTGGGTCGCGACCTTTGCCTGTGGGATATGGCCTTTGACCGTGAGACGTGACTTTGCCGATGGGATGTGACTGTTGACCGGGTACCTGTTGGACTTGACCTCTGGGGTAACCTTTCTGAAACTGGCCGACCTGGCCTCTTTCGGCCTGGGGACTTCGACCCTGAGATTCCAATCTGGGGTCTGCATCGTGAAATGCCTTTCGTTCAGGCGGTCGTGGGTTCAATCCCCACTGACCGTCTGCGGCACTCTTGGTGCCAACCAACTGAGATAGTTGGCTTGCTTCCCCCGTTCAGTATTCGTAGGGTCTTTGGCCACCACAGGTGTGTGTGTGTGTGTGTGTGTGTTACGGACTTCGCCAGGGCTCGATCCCTGGTCTATCTTTTGCTGTTTCGGCTGCATCCCGTTTTCGGACTGGCACCCTTTTTCCAAACCCCTCCTTT